CCCTGATAAAATCTTGGACTAGAAGCTACCTACTTGTGAGTAAGGGAAATGATCTTTTTTAAAGATGGTGATAATTTAAAAACTGGAAATCCATCTGCAAAAGAATGACATTGGAATCTTCCCTCATACCATAGACAAAAATTAATTCAAATGGATCAAAGACCTCAATGTAAGATCTAAAACCACAAAACTCTTAGAAGAAAACACAAGGCAACCATTTTCACAGCATTGGATTTGCCGTGATGTCATAGACATGATGCTGAAGGCACAGCCAACAACAACAAAACAGACACACGGAGCTTCATGAAAATTTAAAATATGTGTTTTTGACCAAAATCTTTTTTTTTAGGTATGGGGGTCTTGCTATGCTGCCCAGGCTGAAATGCAGTGGCTGTTTACAGGCGTGATCATGGTGCATCGCAGCCTCAAACTCCTAAGTTCGAGTGATCCTCTCATCTCTGCCTCCTGAGTAGCCAGGATTACAGGTGCAAATCACTGTGCCTGGCTACAATTTTAAAATTTGTGCACCAAGTGACAATATCAACAGAATAAAAGGCAGCTCACACAATGGGACAAAACATTTGCAAATTACATATCTGATAAGGAATTATATGCCAAATATAGAGAGAACTCCTAAAACTCTGTGAGAAAAAAAGGAAGCCCGATTAAGAAACGGGCAAAGGACTTGACATTTCTCCGGAGGAAATCCACAAATGGCCAACAAATACATGAAAAGCTGCTCAACATCGCTCATTATCAGAAAAATACAAATTAAAACCACAGTGGGATATCACTTCATACCTGTTAGAATAGCCATTGTGTGTGTGTACATATATGTATATATATGTGTATATGCATATATACATATACACATACACATATGTATACATATGTACACCCAATGGCTATTCTAACAGGTGTGAATATGAATATACGTACATATATACATATTCACATACATGTACATATACATATACACATACAGGCATATATACATATACACCTACGTGTAGAAACACAATAGAAAACAACAAATGCTGGTGAGAATGTGGAGAAACTAGAACCCTCGTGCACTGTTGGTGGGAGGGTAAAATGGTGCCGCTACTGTTATGGGAAACAGTACAGATGTTTCTAAAAAAATTAAAAAGAGAACTGTCACATGATCCAGCAGTCCCACTTGTGGTATTTATCCAGAAGAACTGAAAGCAGGATCACAACGTGGTATCCGCATGCCCCGTGTTCACTGGAAGCAGCATTATTCACAATATCCAAGCGATGGAAACAACCTAAATGTCCATCAGTGGATGAATGGATAAAGAAAGTGTGATATGTACACACAATGTGACATGGTTTGGCTCTGCGTCCCCACACAAATCTCATCTGTAGCTCCCATAATTCCACATGTTGTAGGAGGGACCTGGTGGGTGTCATCCACGCAAGATGTGACTCACTCCTCCTTGCTGTCCACCATGATTATAAGGCCTCCCTAGCCCTGTAGAACTGTAAGTCCAATAAAACTCTTTCTTTTGTAAATTGCCCAGGCTCAGGTATGTCTTTATGAGCAGCATGAAAACAGGCTAATACACAATGGAATAATATTTTAGAGGAGGGATGAGAAAAAAATATTTTATAACTTGCCTGAAAGTAGGGTGCGAACACAGTTTTTTCTTCTATTTCTTTTCTTTTTAAAAATTATTACTATTTTTAATTGATGCATAATCAGATGTATTTATGGGGTACATTGTGATATTTTGATACGTGTAAATAATGTGTAATGATCAAAGAAGGGTAATTAGCACAGCCGTCACCTCACTTTTCTTTGTGTTGGAAACATTCAAAATCTACTCTTTTAGCTATTTGAAAATATACAATAAATTGTTGACAATTACAGACATCCTCTAGTGCTGTAGAACACAAGGATTTCTTCCACCTATCCAGCTGTACTCTTGAATCTGTTAGCACATCTCTGGCTGTCCCTTAACCCTCAACACACTTCCCTACCTCTAATAATCACTGTTCTACTCTGTGTCTTGAGGTCAACTTGAGACTATGCAGTGTTTCTCTTTCTGTACCTTACTTATTTCACTTCACAGAACGTCCTCTAAGCTCGTCCATGCTGCTTTAAGCAATAGAATTATAGAATTTTGTTCTTTTTTTCCTTCTTCTTCTTTGAGATGAAGCCTTGATCTGTCACCAGGCTGGAGTGCAGTGGTGCGATCTCAGCTCACTGCAACCTCTGCCTCCCAGGTTCAAACAATTCTCCTGCCTCAGCCTCCCAAGTAGCTGGGACCACAGGCGCAAGCCACCAGGCCCAGATATTTTTGTATTTTTGGTAGAGACAGGGTTTCCCCATGTTGGCCAGGATTATCTCAATCTCTTGACCTCATAATCCATCTGCCTCAGCCTCCGAAAGTGCTGAGATTACAGTCATGAGCCACCATGCCCGGCCGAATTTGTTCCTTTTTATGGCTAAATAGTATTCCGCTATGTATATATGCCACACGTTCTTTATCTTACAGTGGACTATAATTTTATTCAACCTTAACAAAGAAGGAAATCCTGCCATATTCAACAACATGGATGCATCCTGAGGACATTGTAGTAACCAAAATAAGACAGACACAGGAGGATGAAGACTGCATGGTTCTGTTACGTGATGTAGCTAAACTAATCAAACTCATAGAAGCAAAAAGTAAAATAGTGGTAGCTGGGGGCTGGTGGAGGAGTGAGAGGGGGAAGTTGTTCAATGGGCATGGTTTAGTCATGCAAGGTGAAAAAGTTCTAGAATTCTGCTGTGCAGCAATGTGCATGTAATCAGGAATATTGTTCTGCACATCTAAGAGTTTGTTAAGAGGGCAGATTTCATGTTAGGTGTTTTTTCTTCGTTCATTTTTAACCACAATTTTTAAAAAGGGGAAGAAGAAGGAACCCATGTCCCCGCCCTGGTGAGAGCCTTCCCACTGCTATTTCTTTACTGCCCCTGGCCAGCTGCCCTTGGCTCTGAACTTCCTCTGTGGCTGTGCAGTTGTTCAGAAGTAAAGGCCTGTGGGCAGGGCCCCACGGGGAAGGAGAAGTTGTGTTTTTCTCTTCAAAGAGCAAGAGAGCCACACCTGCCCACTACCTTATTTATTTATTTATTTATTTATTTATTTATTTATTTATTTATTTTGAGATGGAGTCTCATTCTGTCACCCAGGCTGGAATGCAGTGGCATGATCTCAGCTCACTGCAACCTCCACCTCCCGGGTTCAAGTGATCCTCTTGCCTCGGCCTCCCAAGTAGCTAGGACTACAGGTGTGTGCCACCAGACCCAGCTAATTGTTGTATTTGTAGTAGATATGGCAGTTTCACCATGTTGGCTAGGCTGGTCTTGAACTCCTGACCTCAGGTGATCCAACTGCCTCAGCCTCCCAAAGTGCTGGGATTACAGGCGGGAGCCACCATACCTGGCCTGTCACTAACTTTTGGTTCCGTAAGTGTGAAAATCAGCATATGACAAATCCTCATGGTCCGTGGCTATTTAAGGGCTTGAGGGCTTGGCTCCAGGCTCCTGATTGAAATGCATCTGCTGGAAAATGCAATGCCAGCACTAGCGGCTCATTTATTGACTTTCCGTCTTTTTCCCTACCCTAGAGAAAGGGCATATTAGGCAAGCCTTGCTTGTCAGCTTGCGTTGGAACCCCAAGGGATGTTTCCTAGAAATGTGTACGTGGGGTGGTGGTGTGAGGGCAAGTGTGGTGGGTGGTAGTTGGGCAGACGACAATAGATGCCTACTCTACTTCAGTGGATTCTTGCTGATGGACCCACAAGAATAATAGCCCAGTTAGCTACAAGAAGATTGAGGGATTCATTGGCAGAGTGGTGGCATTCTTCCTGGGTCTGGCTGGACCTTCAGGAGGCTGAATCCAGGAAATCATTCCAGAAGCAGGGTCCTGGGGCTGGTGGACTGTGGGTCTTGGTCCCCACAGAATCACTAAGGGGGTCTTAGTCTGGCTTGAACTCTCCTCTCTGGCCATTATGGAATTTTTAGGCCCATCATGTCCAGAGTCCTAAATTCAGTTCAAAATCAGAGAAAGTTCCCCTTTGGCTGAAGGACAACAAGAGGGAATTATAGAGTCCTAATGGGAAGTGGAGGCTCTGGGTGCCATGCTAGGGACCAAAGGGTCACCTCTCCTTTATCCACTGCCGGCAGTCAGGGATCCCTATTAGAACCAAGGGTAGGATGAAGGTGTCCTCACGGGTGTCCAAAGGGCAGCATTCCCAACACGTGTGGGCAACTGGGGGCGGGAGCAAGTCTCACATGGGGCTGGTTCTCTTCCCAAGAAGTGAAGGTCCCTTTGGGGTGGGAGTCCGTCACCCATACAGCCAAAGTGACCCTATTCGAGGGTGTCATCGCAGTGGGTGAGGCGCGTGAGGAGACAGCACCACTTCCCTAGGACACTTTTCATTAGTAACATGATTTCAACATCACTGAAAAGGGAGGGTGCCATTTCCTGTGACAGTTTTCATTACTGCCCTCCCCATCTGGAGGTGGTTCTCCAGGAGCAAGAGCCTCTTTGCGGAGGAGGCCCAAAACGTCATGCTGAGGAGGCTCCCAAGCTGCAGCCCCCAGGAGGTGGGAGAGTGGCCAGGGAGCTTGGGGGGTCAGGAAGAGGAGGAGGTAGAAGGAGGAAGCTAAGTATTAGTGTGGGCCAGGGAGGCTCCCATTTTCTCCTCAGCCTTGTGGGCTCAGAGCCATGTCCTCCCAGGGGAGAGGATCCATCCAGCCCCTCATGCCCCAGAACCAGGAACTCAGCCCAGAATCACCCTCCTTGTGTGTGGGATCAGGCAGTTTTCCTATGAACACAACTCATCGAAACTCAACTTCACCAGGAAAAATATTTTTCAAAAACGGATCTGTCAGTCTCTCAGGCAAAGATGGTGTTGAGCTGGGCTCTGGAATGATGGAAGTCTAGGGCTGGGGAGTCTCCTCCAACCTCTCTCTGTATTTTGGCCCCAGGCTCTGTGCCCAAGTTATTCCAGCAGTAGGGACACAGTCGTCCACTGCTTGAGCCCCATCTCTACAGCGCCTGACCAAGAAAACAGGTGCTGACACTCCAGGAGGTGATGGGGGCTCAGGAGAGGCCCCAGCTAAGTCCCTAAGCTGTGCAGGACAGGGAGGTACCCACCAGCTCCAAGGCCAGGGTGGAGGCCCAGGGCCCCATCTCAGTGGCTGCCTCCCAAGGATTCAGAGATGTTCCTTCCACAGTCCAGGTCTCTTCTGGAAATGCAGTCCAGGGCAGGAAGGCTCTGCAGATCCATCTCTCTAAGCAGCCATGTCTTTGTTCAGATGTTTAGAGGACAAGTTCATATAGATAGGTTGTTCCCATGGCTTCTCAGGGACCCTCTGAGACCCCTTCAACCAGAGGATTGTACCGACCAAGATGAGCAAGATGGGCACCTTCACAAATACCAGGAGCACATAGTAGGTCCTGGGTAAGGGGACACAGTGGTCAGAGCCCTGGGCCTCCCAAGTTCACATCACTCCCCTCCCCTGACCCTGTGAGCCACCAGCCAAAGCCTGTGACCCTGGGCCGGGCAGCCCCATTCTAAAGATCCGCATAAATCTCCTTGGTTCAATCTCAAGAGCTCCTCTGACAGTCACCTTGGCTGGTTCTGCACAGGGCAAATGTCACCTTCTGGGACCCTTTTTGCCCAAAGTAAATCTCAGCTCAACCGAAGCACCAGAGATCACCAAATACAGGTTGTTTTTCCTGCCTCTGTTCCTGCTAACTCCAGCTCCAGGTTGGTAAATCACCCTTCCTGCTCTGTGTCCCTTGATGTCTTGCACCATGAAGGGTGGTTTCTTATCTCCCCCTGGCACCCATGAGGCCACCAATGCAAGGTTGACCAATTAACTGGGTGGATGATGCTCACTGAGAAGGGCTCTGCAGAGCGGCTTTCTGGTGAGAGCTAGAGTAGGTAAATGGTGGACTGCAGTAAGGGGGGCAGAAGAGAGATGGAGGGTGGGCTTGGTGCCTTGACTCTGACTAGAGCAGCTTCTGGCTTTTGGTAACAGGCAGAAGGAGTTCCCAGCCTTGGCTTCTCCTTAGGAGGGACTCCAGGTAGGTGCAGGGGAAAGAACCACATGACTCACCTCTTGTGGGAGCTGATTAACACCCCCATATTCCTGTTGGTAGTCAATTTGGAAGACGAGCTTGCTGGTGTGGAAGCCGCTCTCACTAGACACAGGCAAAGTCAGCCACAGGTTATTGGCACAGTTGGGAGCTCACACAGGGGTCACAAAGTCACCCGACCCTACCAGCCATTGCCAGAAGGCCCTTTGCCCTGGAGTAGGAGGATTTTCCTGTCCTGGTACAGCTCCTTGACCTTCTACTGAGTCACCTCAATCTCAACACAGAGACATTTCTTTCCTATCATTTTCAGGTGTGGCAAGAAAAATTAAAAATAAAATAGGAGAAAGCACTGTAATGTATTCTGGGAGAGAGAGAGACTTTTTCATACTCTTTCCACCTATCCTATAAGTGGGACTATTGGATGGGAAAATAAATCTCAAGTCTTTTCCACTGGAGTGGTGCCTGAGCAGGGCTTAAGAAGAAAAGATTCTGGAAATAGGCTGTTCAGAAATTGGGGTAGTCCAGAAAAGAGAAAGGGGGCTCCAGAAGGCTCATGAAGAAAAGGGCACACTCCAGTTAAATGGTGAACAGCAACTGTGAGGAATGAAACAGTCTTAGCAGCAACTATGTAAGCAATTTGTTGGGGACAGTCCAGTCAGGGGCCCCTGAGGCCAGCCCAGCACTGAGTATCCATGACCCACCAGTGATCTTTTATTTCAGTCCTCGGCCCCAGCAAATTCTTCCCAAAAGTCCCAGGCTGGCCAGGCGCAGTGATTCACACCTGTAATCTCAGTACTTTGGAAGACCAAGGCAGGCAGATCGCTTGAGCCCAGGAGTTCGAAACCAGCCTGGGCAACATGGTGAAACCCCATCTCTACAAAAAATAGAAAATGAACCAGGCATGGTCATGTGCACCTGTAGTCCCAGCTACTCAGGAAGCTGAAGTGAAAGGATCCACTGAGCCCAGGTGGTCGAGGCTGCAGTGAGTCAAGGTCACCCCACTGCACTCCAGCCTGGTCTACAGAGTGAGACCCTGTCTCAAAACAAAACACAAACAACAACAAAAAAACAGCCCAGGCTATGGCCATGCTAGGTAGGCTCCTGTCTGAACTGCAGGTAATTCCGGTCACAACAGTTGCTGTGAAACCCCTGATCATCTTACAGGCTGATGTCCCTGTAAGTCCCCAACCTGAGACTCCTGAATGTCTCTCTCCCTAAAGCTCCACACTGGCCATGGCTTTTTGTCTCTCCGTACTGCCTGCATGTCTTGCTCAATCTCCTCTCTGCCCCTGTAGATCTTCTAGACTTCCCCTACTTGGCAGCCCTGAGGAAGTCTTGCTTGACTCTTCCTGGACTCCTCTTTACCCAGATGCATCCACTGTGTCCATGTGCCTCTTTGGTACCAACCCCAACAGTACACAGGCTTGTTCTAATGCCACCATTGTCTATTTGCACATCACCATCAAATGGACCCAAGTGGACACTGAGCTGACAAAGGACTGAGCACGGGTGTGTGGGTGGAAGTGGGGATAGAGGGCTGTTTCCTAGACTCCAGCAACAGCAGGAAGACCCCAGATTCTGTGAGTGGAGTCCGAGGCACAGAGGAGACACCAGGGCAGCCAGAGAGATCCCTGAAATTGCCCATGATTGAAGTCATCCTTTCGCTTTTAAGAGTCCACTGTCATTCACGCACCTCCGTGAGCTTCCTTACCCCATGCTCATCTTACACAGCCAGATAAAGTAGCAGAGCAGTGGCTTGGGACCCAGAGAAGAGGGCATTGTAAGATGCCCAGGGCTACTCTGGGTTGGCACAGCTCTTGGGACTCAAACTAGGACCCTCTGGGCTGCTCTAGGTCCTCCACCTCCCATGTCATAATCAGGGCTGGGCCACTAGTCACCAAAGCTGAGGTCCACATTCCCACTCCCACCCCAAACCCTTCCAGCCCTGCCACACAACACCTGGATTTCTTGGGGAGACCTCAGGGACTGAGACAGCGGAGCGGTGCTGGCTGCCACTCTCCCTTCATTTCTCTCACCTCCCTCCCAGTCCTTCCATCTGTCATCTGTCTGTCTATCTGTCTCTCTCTTAGGCTCCTAGGTAAGAGCACCGACTTTTCCAGTCCTGAGCTCCAGGGCCTCCTCATGTAGATGAGAAAGTTCTTACCTGGGTCAACGATCACTTTCACTTGAGTCCCAAGGTCAGTTCCTATTCTCTCAATCCCACACCAGTAAATGTCTGTGTCGTTTTGCCTGAGCCCCCCCATGGTCACAGTGAACACGTGGTCTCTCTGATTGTCTTTGATGAGCACACGGTCCCTCTTCTCTTCTTGTTCTGACCCATCTGTTTGAATGAGGATAGTGCATGAATCCCAGTGCATCCCTCGACACCACCACTTGACGTAGGTCTCCCATCTTTGCTGATAGTGGCACTGCACGGTCATGGACCCATGCTCTGGGGCTCTCACGGACTCTTGGCTATAGATGGAGAAACAGCCTGGAAAACAGAATCCCAAGATACAGCTCCTGTTGCCTGAGCCAGTTTGAGGTTCACAGACTGAATGGGAGTGCCAGATGTGTCTCTAGCTCACCCAATTCCTCATCCCTACCTCCCCCTCAGTCCAGCCCCCACCAGCTTCTAGACCTGCTTAGCATGTGACACCATGGTCTCCTACAACCTTCCTTCCTTGTCCTTTCAATGCTATTCTCATTGGAGCCAAATATTTAACAACCAGCCCTCTGGGGGAAAAAATATCTGGTATTCAGGCTGAGTGCAGTGGCTCACACCTGTAATCCCACACTTTGGGAGGCCAAGGGAGGCAGATCACCCGACATCAGGAGTTCAAGACAAGCCTGGCCAACATGGTGAAACCCCGTCTCTACTAAAAACACAAAAATTAGCTGGGCATGGTGGCAGTCACCTGTAGTCCCAGCTACGCAGGAGACTGAGGCACAAAAATCACTTGAATCTAAGAGGCGGAGGTTGCAATGAGCTGAGATCTCAGGACTGCACTCCAGCCTGGGCAACAGATTGAGATGCTTGTCTCGAAAATAAAGAAAAAGAAAAAGAAAAAAACTCTGGTTTTAATATTTGCCAAATTCTGTAGTGTAAATACTCCCATGGTAGCAGATGTCGGGTAATCCATGTGATGTCCCTGGACACAGAGCTGGGAAAAGGTGTCCCAAATCAGCTCCTGTGAGCCAGTGTGAGCCGGCTCCAGCCCTCTGCGAGCGTACCCAGGGTTCCCTCTCCAGCCCCTCTTGTCTCACCTTAGAAGTCGCCATGGAGGGAGTCTCTCCATTTCCATGGCTTTAATAATGACTTGTTTCCTGATGACTCCCAAATCCATATTTGTAGCTCAGACTCCCCTTAGCTAGCCCACCGTTTATAAAGACACACTGGAGGTCTCCACCCCAAATTCCTTCATTGCAGAACTGAATGCATTTCCTCTCTGTTGGAAACAGATGCTCGGTGCCACAAAGAAAAATCAGCATGGAGACAAAGGATCTTTCAGCGAGCAATTCTTACTTCCTGGACTGCAGGAAGCAGCCAGTCATCTAGCCAGTCTTGCTAGCCATCTTGCCACAAGAGTATAATAAACAAAGGAAAAGCAGACATATTTATCCCTTATTCATTTGGGGTCATCCTTCCTGCTGTGTCTGATCTCCATTGGCTGTAGCCAGACCTCACAATCTAAACTAAAACCCAATTGGCTAAAAACATTTTCTAAACAGGTAAAAGCAATGGAGAGCTGGGACATGCCTGTGAGCATATCCAGCACAGATGTCTTGGTTAAAGTACAAGGATATAGAATGTACTACGTGCCTGTAAGCATGGCATGCCTAACCGCTACATAGGATAGGGCTTAACACAGAGTTACTAGCAAATTTATCCTTTAACAAGAAAGGAAATTTTAAAGAGAATCTTTTCTGCTTCCCATGCTCTCCCACCCTGAACTTTCTTCTAGTGGGGGATTGTATGTGGAAAGGCTAGCAAAGGCCTGATGCAAGCCGAACAGGTGAGAGATGAGCCTAATGAAAGGCTGCCCCTGCCTCCGCTGATTGACTCCAGTTAGGCTATGTTCAGGCAGGCTATTTCCTTGGAAATGACACAGGTTTCTTGATCATGCAGAAGTGGATAAAAAGGCAGACACTCACTGGGGAAGCCTCTCTTGGCTGTCTCTTGGCCTCAGAGCTTCAGGCCCAGGCTGGGGGGCTCTGCAGGAGACCAGGGGAATCAGGTCTACTTCCCTAGGCAGGCGCTGCCTCCTCACAGCTTGGGGCTTCTCCCCCTGAAGCTATTTTAGCTTTCTTGAACTTGGCGTTTATGGCCGATAGAATACTGTCCCCCATAGATGTTGGCATCCTCATACACAGAACCTGCCAGTATGTCCCCCAAACATGGCCGGAGGCACTCTGCTGACGTGATGAAGGCAAGGAACTTGAGATAGGAAGGGTATCCTGGATCACCTCCCTGGATATTCTAAGTGAAAGAGGGTTGAAGGAGAGTCCGACTGGAAGATGGTCTGTTGCTGGCTTTGAAGAGGAGGAAGGGGCCACAGTCCAAGGAAAGCAGATGGCTTTTAGAAGCTGGAAAATGCAGGGAAACAGATTCTGTCCTAAAGTCTGCAGAATAGGGACGCCCAACCCCAGACCACAGACTGGCACTGGTACATGGCCTGTTAGGAACCCGGCCTTACAGCGGGAGCTGAGCGGTGGGCGAGCAAGCGAAGCATATGGGGGTTGCTCTCTCGGTGACAGCTCATCAACAGGTCAGGACCTCACCTGTATTGACAGCCGCTCCCCCTTGTTAGAATTGCCACCTGACCTCCACCTCCAGATCAGTGGCGGCATTCAATTCTCATGGAAGTGTGAACCCTATTGTGAACTGTGTGTGTGAGGGATCTACACTGTGCACACTTTATGAGAATCTAATGCCTGATGATCCTTCACCGTCTCCCATCGCCCCCACATGGGACCGTTGCAGGAAAACAAGCTCAGGGCTCCCACTGACTGACATTATGGTGCAGTGTGTAATTATTTCATTATATATTACAATGTAATGATAATAGAAATAAAGCACACAGTAAGTATAGTGCTCTTGAATCATCCCAAACCATCCTCTCCCCATCCTGGTCTGTGGAAAAATTGTTTTCCACAAAACTGGTTCCTAGTGCCAAAAAGGTTGGGGACCCCACTGCTCTAAAGAAATGCAACTCTACACCTCGATTTTAACCAGCAAGACCATGCCAGACTCTGGTCTTCGGAAGCATCAATGAGATGATGAATTTCTGCAGTTCTAAGCCACAGATTTCATGTCAATTTGTTGCAGCAGCCACTGGAAATTAACACAGCATTCAATCAGCAGAACCACCTTGATTCTCTTCAAACCAGCAGCTTCACCACGCAGCCTACCATTGGCATCTTCTTCAATGCTGTCCTCTCCTTCAGCCCCCACAGCTGATTAATAGCCTGCTTAGTCAGCTGTACCCTAGAGATGCTCCTTAGATTTTCTTCTTCTTTCAGCCTCCGCCATCTCAGGCCACAGGACGGCATGGCATGACAGCAGAGGGGGTGTGAGCTTTGAATGCAGAAAGACGTGATGACCCTGAACTAGTTGGGAAACGCTGGCAGAGTTGCTTAACCTCTGTAAGTGTCACTTCTTTATTTGTGAAACAGTCATGCTACTCTCCACCTTGAAGAGCCATTCTGTCACTCCAGCATGGGTGACAGAATGAAACTCCGTCTCAAACATAAACAAATGGGACTTGGATGTGTGTAGGCTGAGCAAGGTGGCTCATGCCTATAATCCCAATGCTGTGGGAGGCTAAGGCAAGAGGATCACCTGAGCCCAGGAGTTCTAGACTGACCTGGGCAACATGGTGAAACCCTGTGTCTGCAAAAGATAAAACATTAGCCGGGAGTGACGGTGCATGCCTGTGGTCCCAGCTGCTTGGGAGGCTGAGGTGGGAGGATCACTTGAGCCTGAGAGTTCAAGGCTGCAGTGAGTTATGATCACCCACCATGGCACTTCAGCCTGGGTGACAGAGTGAGACACTGTCTCTAAAAAAATTATTATTTTTTAATTTAAAAGAAGACTTGGATGCATCTCCAACGCCAGACATTTGGGGGTTGCTCTGTCGGTGACAGCTCATCAACAAGTCAGGACCTCACCTGTGGCTGGATCGTGGCAGTGGCTTCTGGAGAGGTGTTCCCAGCCCCAGCAGCATCCTCCCCAGCCATACTGCTGCCCAAGCTGGGTACTGAGACTGTCTCATCCTCCTCATCAGCTGCACTTGTCCTGAGGATCTAAAAAGCTTTCAGGCCCAGGCACCGTGGCTCATGCCTATAATCCCAGCACTCTGGGAGGCCGAAGCGGGTGAATCACTTGAGGTCAGGAGTTCGAGACCAGCCTTGCCAACATGGCATAACCCTGTCTCTACTAAAAAAACAAAAATTATCTGGGTGTGGTGGCAGGTGCCTGTAATCCCAGCTACTCAGGAGGCTGAGTCAAGAGAATCACTTGAATCCTGGAGGTGGAGTTTGCAGTGAGCCAAGATCATACCACTGCACTCCAGCCTGGGCGACAGAGTGAAACTCCATCTCAAAAAACAAAAACAAAAACATAAATTGGATTTCTCAGCAATCACTAACAACAGAAAAGAGATGCTGCTGCATTGAATAAAGTGTCATCAATCCCAGCTGCAGTCATTCAAGCTGTAAAGGGCTCACAGTGTAATTAGGCCTGTTTAAAAAATAGGTAGGGGCTTCTCTAACCACAGATTGTGATGGCTGGAGCTATGAACCAGGCTTCTACGTGTTGTCAAGAGTTGGTATGAGGGACAGTAGGGATGGAAATGACAGGGCAGCCGTCAGCTTGGAGCAGAGCCCTGTTGAACGGGCTGAAGGATTGAAGGGCTTTTGTTTTGATTTGTTTTGTTTGTTTTGTGACAGAGTATCGCTCTGTCACCCAGGCTGGAGTGCAATGGCACAGTCTCAGCTCACTGCAACCTCTGCCTCCCAAGTTCAAGCGATTCTCCTGCCTCAGGCTTCTGAGTGGCTGGGATTACGGCACCCACCCCCATGCCTGGCTAAGATTTGTATTTTTAGTAGAGACGGGGTTGCGCCATGTTGGCCAGGCTGGTCTTGAACACTTGGCCTCAGGTGATACACTGAACTAGGCCTATCAAAGTGCTGGGATTACAGGTGTGAACCACTGTGCCTGACCTAAAGGGTTTTTAAAAACATAAGCCTCTTTCAATTTCAGGTTTTTCGTTTTGTGAACCTGAGGTGTAAACATCCTGTTTTGTGTCAATTCTCCAGGAAGGCTCGCCACCCGTCCTCGTTGTGAACAAAATCCCGGTGTGAATGGTCTTGTCTTGAAATCAAGAGAATGGTCTGCGCTCTGTGTCTGGGCTGACAGCAAATGGAGCCCCAGGCAGCAAAGCATAGAGCTCAGTGCAGAGATGCCCCTGGGAGGGTCAGAGCCCGTGTCGCAGAAATCCAGGCAGCCTCGCTGGAACCTCCCTGACTGTGGAGTGGTCACAGTCATTTGAGCTCATCTCATTTGCACCTAGAGGTCGGTGCAACTCTGCAGACCTCCGAGTGCCCATCATGCCCAAGCTGTGTCCATACAAGTCAAGCTCTGAAGAGTTCATTTCCTAGGTAGAGATCTGTGCCTTCCGCCATCCCCACATCATTCTCTCCTTGGGGAGAAGCGGGGTTTGCTCTTCCACTGCAAACACTTACGGTCAGCAGAGTGGTGGGAGGTCTAGGCCTTTCTCCTTGTCTTGTAGATGCCCTCTACGTATGTCTGTGTCCTCATTCCCTCCTTCCTTCTTCCCTTGTTTTTTTTTTTTTTGTTTTTTGTTTTTTGTTTTTGTTTTGTTTTGTTTTGTTTGAGATGGAGTCCTGCACTGTTGCCTGGGCTAGAGTGCAGGGGCACGATCTCAGCTCACTGCAACCTCCACCTCCCAGGTTAAAGTGATTCTCCTTGCCTCAGCCTCCCAAGTAGCTGCGATTACAGGTGCCCTCCACCACATCCAGCTAATTTTTTTGTATTTTTAATAGAGATGGGGTTTCACTATGTTGATCAGGCTGGTCTTGAACTCCTGACCTTGTGATCCGTCCACCTCGGCCTCCCAAAGTGCTGGGATTACAGGCATGAGCCACCGAGCCTGGCCTCCCTCTTCTTTTTTTTTTTTTTTTTTGAGACGGAGTTTCGCCCTTGTTACCCAGGCTGGAGTGCAGTGGCGCGATCTCGGCTCACCGCAACCTCCGCCTCCTGGGCTCAGGCAATTCTCCTGCCTCAGCCTCCTAAGTAGCTGGGATTACAGGCACGTGCCACCATGCCCAGCTAATTTTTTGCACTTTTAGTAGAGACGGGGTTTCACCATGTTGACCAGGATGGTCTCGATCTCTCGACCTCGTGATCCACCCGCCCCAGCCTCCCAAAGTGCTGGGATTACAGGCTTGAGCCACCGCGCCCGGCGCCTCCCTCTTCTTATAAGTCATTTCAAATGAGGGCTCATCCTAATGACCTCGTCTTAACTTGGCTTCCTCCGTAAAGGCTCTGTCTCTAAATAAGTTTCCATTCTGAGAAACTGGGGATTAAGACTTTGTGAAAGGAAGACAAAAATCTCAAGACCCCCAGACTCACTGTGCCAAAGGGAAAAGTGAAGCTTGGGATCTGTCACTCAAAAAACAAAACCAAACCGAAAAAGAACTCCCTCCCTTTTGTTCCCAAGCAGACATCGCTCATTTCCCATGCCTACTTTATCTCACGTACGATAGGTTTTACGGAGCACTCCCCTCTTTTCACATGTAAAATAGGATTCAGTGAGTGCCAGTCAAAGCCTCACAACCACTTGCCTCCTTCCCTACCCTCCCGCTGTTCTCCTTTTCTCCTGTCACATTGGATGCTGTCACACCAGTGCCCTGCCTTCCTCTTGTGGCTTTGGCGGAGGTCATATAACCAAGCAGATGAGAAGACATCCTACCAGACATCGGGTCGTTCTGACCTTCCCTTTCTTCCATTTCACAGAAACACCCCCAGAGTGGCCAATGGCAATCTGTTGACCAAAACCTGACAGGGTGGCTTTTCTTCCATCCTTGAGTGACTCACCCCTTTCCCCATGTCGACTGGCAGGGATGGACCCGGAGGGCCTCTCTGTCCTGTCTCTGCAGGACCCACCCTCCCCAAGCCACAGAGCAGTCATGGTGGGTCTCAGCCTTCACCTGGTGAGTGGCTGTGCGCAAGTGAGTGCAGGTGTACGTGTCATTTTGTGTCACTGTGTGTATGAGTGTGTGGCGGAGATGTGTATGGAGTGTGACTGCATGAGGGCATGTGCTTTAGACTCCACTGTCTGAGTGTGTTGTGTGTGTCCATGTGAGAGTGTGTAGGCCCAGACATATTTTGTCCACACCCTTCTCCCTGGCCTCCAGGTGACAGGGATGGAGGGATTAAGAGAGGGAGCATCACCCCTTTTCCACTGAATTCAGGGATTCCAGCTGAGATCCAACCTGGGGATCTCTGAACTCAAATGCAAACCCGGAGCCCAGGGGTGATGCAAACATTCTGAATCACGGAGCCCTGCGAATTCTGGGCCCTGTGGAGTCCTGCCTAATTCCTACAGCTGCTGCCTTCATGGCCAGTCAGTCTCCTGACACTACCGCTGGGCTTCCCCATCATCAGTGAAGTCAACAACAGTGGCAGTAATTCAGAGAGAGCCCACAGCCCTTCTTTACTTCCATCCAATATGAGGAGCGTAAAGAGGATCTCCTGGATTTTTTTTTTTTTTTTTTTTTTGAGATGGAGTCTTGCTCTGTTGCCCTGGCAGGAGTACAGTAGTAAAATCTCAGCTCACTGCAACCTCCGCCTCCCAGGTTCAAGTGATTCTCCTGCCTCAGCCTCCCGAGTAGCTAGGACTAAGGTGCGCGCCACCAGACCCAGCTAATTTTGTGTGTGTGTTTTTAGTAGAGACAGGGTTTCACCATATTGACCAGGCTGGTCTTGAACTCCTGACCTTGTGATCCACCTGCCTCAGCCTCCCAAAGTGCTACGATTACAGACGTGAGCCACCGCGCCCAGCTGGGGACTTTCTATTCACACTGGAAATCCAGGTCTTAGAACAGCCGGGGAATTGTCCGGATCCCCAGCCCCAGGCAGAACTGGAGTCGGGTCTCAGAACTCCACCGCTGTGCCCCTTCCCATCGTTCCTCTGTGCACTGCTCTGTCTGTGCCAGAGGGTCAGTCCCGAGGCTCCAAGAGAAAATTCTGTGGCCCACACATATTGCACACCCTGTGCAAAATTCTGGACTGTCCCCTAATGCCCTCTAGGTGTCCACCAAGGTTTGCCGTGGAGAAGATAATCTAGCCCTTCCCACTTTCCACCTGGGTTCTTGAGGTTTTTTCTTTCAAAGTCTCAGCTCCTGAGCCTGGCTTGGATGGCCCTCATAATCTTGTCTTTTGTGTTTCCAACCTCATATTCAACTCGCCGCCCCCAAGACGCAGTGTCCTGCACACTGCAGCTCCCTCTGCGGGGATGCACGGTTCTTCCTAAGCTGCCATCCCTCTCTACAGGTGTCCTCCCCCCACCCAACTCTCTAGAGTGCTCTTCTCTCAGCTCTCCTTCAGGAACCGACCCTCCTGCTACAGGACACATCAAGTGTACAGCTGCGGGAGTCTTGCTCTAGCTCACCAGAGAGAACTGCTTCACCCTCTGCACACACCTCCGCCAAAGCCTTATTGTGTCCTGCTCATTGTTTATGTGTATGTCTCACCCACTAAGCCATCCAGAGTCTTTTTACTTTTTTTTTTTTTTTTTTTGAGACAGGTTCTTGCTCTGTCACCCAGGCTAGAGTGCAGTGGTGCGATCATAACTCTGCAGAATTGAACTCCTAAGCTCAAGGGATCCTCCAGCTTCAGCCTCCCAAGTAGCTGGAACTACAGGCATGTGTCACCATGCCCAGCTAATGTTTGTTAATTTTCTGTGGAGATGAGGTCTCACTATGTTGCCCAGGCTGGCCTTAAACACCTGGATTTAAGCAGTCGTCCCACCTTGGCCTCCCAAAGTGTTAGGATTACTGGTGTGAGCCATTGCCCCAAGCCTGGAGCCTTCTTTTTTTTTTTTTTTTTTTTTTATTTGAGGAGGAGGTTTCCTCTGTCGCCCAGGCAGGAGTGCAGTGGTATGATCTCAGCTCACTGTAACCTCCGCCTCACAGGTTCAAGCAATTCTGCCTCAGCCTCCCGAGTAGCTGGGACTACAGGTGCCTGCCACCATACCTGGCTAATTTTGTAGTTTTCATAGAGATGGGGTTTCACCATGTTGTCCGGGCTGGTCTCGAACTCCAGACCTCAAGTGATCCACCCGCTTTGGCCTCCCAAACTGATGGGATTACAGGCGTGAGCCACCGTACCCGGTCTCAAGTCTTCCTTACCGGCCGGTTCTACTCTTTTCCCTCAATGTTCTCAGGGTCCGAGGCACTGATGTCAGTCCCCAGTGCCCCAGGTGAATGACTTCACAAAGCCACCTCTGATTTCCCTGGATGTGGAAGGATACGTACCCTCTGCCTCCTGCTCTACCCCTGTCTTACCAAGCACCCGAGTCGCAGCCGTACTCACCTGAGAGGCTGAGAAGGAGCAGAGCTGGGGAAAGCCACATGGCTCTACCTTCCCGGCTCCTCATCACCTGATCCGCATCAGTGGCCAATGCAGATCCCAGCTGCACTCCGGACGCTCTGCCTGGGCTCAGGCTTGCACCTCGTGCACATCTAGACCGCCTTTGACTTTCTTACTCATTCACTTCCTTTTATACAGTGGGCATTTCCTGCTTTTAATTATTCAACGAAAGAGGTGGCATTTTTTGGCAGGGCTGGGACACAGGGCTTGTGAAAAAGAGGGAGGGGACTGTGCAGGGTGAGGAGGGGAGGGGGAGATATGTCTGCAGAAGGAGTGGGGTGGGGGGCATCTGGCCTAGCAAGCCTTGGGTCCCAGGGGCGTAACACTCTCCCAAGAGCAGGGAACACCCAACTCAGATGTCAGGTGAGCCATGCTGGGCACACCAGAAGATGCATTCGTTCAGGTGTTATGGCCAAGAGCATAAACGTGCAGACTGCTGGGTCAGACAGACGTAGCTCTAAACCCACGAGCACCACCTGCAAGCTGCAAGACTGTGGACAACACAACATCTCTGTGCCTCAGTTATTGCATCTATTAACTGGGCTCATAATGTTTGTTGTTATTATAGGAGTTATTAAGAAATTATTTTAGGCTTACTTATAGCCATTATCGGAGGTAATGAAAAAAAAAAAGAAATTATTTTAGGCAGATAGAGAGGAAAAGTGGTCCTTGGGAAGTTTTTTTTTTCTTTTAAAACAGCTTCAGAAACATTTCTTGTCTAGCAGAAAAGCCCTGGCTCTTTGAGCTGGGCAGGCAAGCTTTGATGTGCAAATGCAGGCCCTTAGAAACTGGGTCCAAACAAACATGGAGACTCCCATGGTCTTCTTCCTGACCCCACATGTGCCTGGCAACATGGCTGCCCCACATAGCCTCATGTGTGTAGAACCTCATGGCACCTGCATTTGCATATTAAAAGACTAGCGTAGGAGGGCTAATTTTTTCGTGGGATATTTGAATGACACCCAGTCAAACCAATCCCCTTGGCCCTATGCAAATCAGATACCACTTCCTCCACTCCAGCCTCCGCATATAACTGGCTGTTTCTGCCACACTCAAGATTCCCTCTATCAGCTTAGAACCCCCAACCCTGTCTCTGTACAGGGGGAGCCTCTTCCTTCTTTCTTGTCTATTAAATTCTCTGCTCCTAAAAACCATTCCACATGTGTCCATGTCGTTTGATTCAAACTTGCTCGAGACCAGGGTGTTCCTCCAGTCACTGGAGCCATATCATTTTGGTGCACTGGGCAAGAACCCAAGGCACAGCATTTATCGAAGTCGTAAGTATGGGGGTGAGCTTAAAATCTGTTCCATCATTTTTGAGGTGCTCTTGGCCTCTATTTTAAAATAAAATAAATCAACGGGCATCCATCAGCCAGGTACATACACTTAGTGCTGGCTGCCATAATAAAGACTCAAATGTGAGGCTTGCTGGTGAGAACATGGAGAACTCCCCCAATGCCACCAGGTCATTGGGAATGTTGGCCGTGTTTCAAATCAGCTTCTTTTCACGGGAAGAACTTGCCATTGTGCAAGGCTGAGAAAGGTTCTAATACAACTAAGAATTTCTGGCCAGGACACACCCTGGCATGATTCAAAGGCCTCTGGACCGGACCCAGCCTCCGACGGCTCATTCTGGGTGTTGGCAAAGAATCCTCAATGGTCCTGTCACAAAACTCTTCTTCCTTCTCTATCTGCGGTCTCTTAACTCTTTCTCTGTGTGAAATGTGTAGCAATTTTTACAGCCTAGGAAACTAATCCTGTTAGGAAAAGTCAGGAGAACACGCCATTACAATCTTCTAGGAAGAGAGTTCTCTTTCCCCTATGGTGAGGTTACTCACTACCCCTTCTCTGGTGAGCACATAGTATTTCTAAGCCAACACTGCCACCTAGTAGAAATAGAAATCCTCTACAGAAGGCAAATATATACATGTATTTTTCATGGTAACACTACAGCTACCTTTTGCACCGTTAGAAGTCAGGCTCTAGGCCTCTTCTGGAAATGGGAAAGTTCTGCCTTTAGCAGTTAGGAGTAAGATATCTTCTGCAGCCAAATTTTAGTCTCAGATTGTCCCATTGGCAGGAAAATGGCCATTTGGTTCCGATGTTCCTTTAAGGCACCTATTCTGTCCTTGATTAAGATGGTCCTTAATTAATAAGGGTATTTTGGAGTCCAGAAGTTAACAAGAACCATTTTTCTAAGGGTAAATGCTTTAGCCATAATAGCAAGATATGAAGTTCAATCTAGCACTCCTCCTCCCTTAAAGAGGTCTTGCAAAATTATGTAGTTTTTCTTAAAATCCATTATGATTATTATTATTATTTTGAGATGGAGTTTCACTCTTGTTACCCAGGCTTGAGTGCAAAGGTACAATCTTGGCTCACTGCAACCTCCACCTCCTGGGTTCAGGCAAATCTCCTGCCTCAGCCTCCTGAGTAGCTGGGATTACAGGCACGTGCCACCATGCCCAGCTAATTTTTTGTATTTTTAGTAGAGACAGGGTTTCACCATGTTGACCAGGATGGTCTCCATCTCTTGACCTCGTGATCCACCCGCCTCGGCCTCCCAAAGTGCTGGGATTACAGGTGTGAGCCACGGCACCTGGCCAAAATCCATTTTTTTTTTTTTTTTTTTTTTTTTTTTGAGACAGAGTTTCGCTCTTGTTACTCAGGCTAGAGTGCAATGCCGCGATCTCGGCTCACCGCAACCTCCACCTCCTGGGTTCAGGCAATTCTCCTGCCTCAGCCTCCTGAGTAGCTGGGATTACAGGCACGCGCCACCATGCCCAGCTAATTTTTTGTATTTTTAGTAGAGACGGGGTTTCACCATGTTGACCAGGGTGGTCTCGATCTCTTGACCTCGTGATCCACCCGCCTCGGCCTCCCAAAGTGCTGGGATTACCGGCGTGAGCCACCGCGCCCAGCCCTCACTTCTCTTTCTAGATGGGTAACATTTTCTTTTTTTTTTTTTTTTTTTTTTTTTTGAGACGGAGTTTCGCTCTTGTTACCCAGGCTGGAGTGCAATGGCGCGATCTCGGCTCACCGCAACCTCCGCCTCCTGGGCTCAGGCAATTCTCCTGCCTCAGCCTCCTAAGTAGCTGGGATTACAGGCACGCGCCACCAGGCCCAGCTAGTTTTCTGTATTTTTTTAGTAGAGACGGGGTTTCACCATGTTGACCAGGATAGTCTCGATCTCTCGACCTCGTGATCCACCCGCCTCAGCCTCCCAAAGTGCTGGGATTACAGGCTTGAGCCACCGCGCCCGGCACATGGGTAACATTTTCTTCATGGCACTCCAACCTAGGTGACAGAATGAGGCTTCATCTAAAAAAATTAGTATAGTCAATCACGTTAATAGAATAAAGGAGAAAAACTATGTAATCATATAGATGCACATAAAGCACTACCTAAAATCCATTACTTTTTATGATAAACTAGGAATTAAAAGGTGACTATAAGCAACTATTTACAACCCATGGCAAAATCTTTCCTTTAAAATCAGGAAGAGGACAAGTGGCTCCAAATCACTACTTTGATTCAACACTTGGATTAGCCTGCACAATACAACAAGAAAGAGAAATGATATGAGAATTAGAAAGAAAGAAACAAAACTCTAAATTAGTGTAAATGAATTTATTATCTACATGTAAAACTGAAAACAATTGCTAAGATTTTTGGCAGAGTTGTTAAATATACATAATGAGTGAAGATCAATTGTTTATCTACATGCATGCAATGAATAACTTGAAAATGCAATAAAAGATACCATTAAATGAGAATAGAAACACAAATGCCCAGAATTAAATTTGACAAACATATGAGCAAATTTTAAGGAGAAAATAATAGAATGTTATTTAAAGACATTTTAAAAGCTCATAAATAATTAGAATTACATACCATATTCATAGATAGAGCAATTATCATAAAGGTAAATTTCATACATTTACATTTAAAATCTCAACAGAGTTTTTTTTTTCTTTTTTAGAATGTTGACCAGTTAATTCTAAAATATCTGCAGAAGAGGAAATGGCCAATATTTGCAAAGCCATTCCCAATATCAAAGAACAATGTATAATGACATGCCTTACCAGATACCAAGACATTTTAACACAACTATGGTAGTTAAAACAATGTTGTGTTAGTTCCAAAATAAGGAATTAGGCAAATTCAACGTAATAGAGTGGTTAGAAAAAGATCCAAGCATATATAGAAATAAATACGTGCCAGGGGTTGCACTGCAGAAATGGAAAAATGGAATAATGTTTATCCAAATGGAAAACAGAAAAATGGATTATTATCTCAGCCTGGAAACAAAAATCATTTAAAAATGGACTTACGGCCGGGCGCGGTGGCTCAAGCCTGTAATCCCAGCACTTTGGGAGGCCGAGGCGGGTGGATCACAAGGTCGAGAGATCGAGACCAACCTGGACAACATGGTGAAACCCCGTCTCTACTAAAAATACAAAAAATTAGCTGGGCATGGTGGCGCGTGCCTATAATCCCAGCTACTCAGGAGGCTGAGGCAGGAGAATTGCCTGAACCCAGGAGGTGGAGGTTGCGGTGAGCCGAGATCGCGCCATTGCACTCCAGCCTGGGTAACAAGAGCGAAACTCCGTCTCAAAAAAAAAAAAAAAAAAAAAAAATGGACTTACCTGTGAAAGGGAATATTTTAAAAAGTTTAGAAGAAAATATAGGAGAGTTTTTTAAAATTTAGGAGTATTCATAATTTGTTAAACAAGACGAAAAAGTATAAACCATTAAGAAAAATAAATAATTTCTACATTAAAGTGAAAACCCTGTTTCTCAAAAATATCATACAGCTAATAAACTAGGAAAGGATATGTGGAGCACAGGTAACTAACAAGAGACTTACAAAGAACTTCCACAAATCCATAGGAAGAACACAGAAAATCAGCAGAAAGTAGATGAAGATGAGAACAGGTATTTCACAAGAAAGAAAATTCAAGTAAACAAAAAACACATGAGAACGAGTTTAATATTAGTAAGCAGAGAAATTGAAATTAAAACAATGAGATGTCATTTCATACTCATTTACTTGAAGACATTTAGGAAGTCTGATAGGATTCGAGCAGTAGCGCTGCTGATGAGGAGTGGAAATTGGTGCAGGTACTTTGGAAAACAATTTGCAATTGCCTAGCAGAGCTGTTACACACAAGCAGCAAAGCCTAGCAATTATTCCCTTAGAACTACACTCTACAAGACTCTTTTGGACAGATACATTAGGATATATGTTCAAAAATGTTCGTAATAATGTTATAAGTAATAGCAACAAAAAAGAAGAGGAAAAGGAAGAAAAGGAGGAGGAAGAGAAAAAAGAAAAGGGGAGGAGGAGGAGGAGAAGGCGGGAAAAAGGAAGAAAGGAGGAGGAGAAAGAAAGAGGAAGGAGAAGACAGCAAAGGATGGAGAAAGATGAGGAGGAAGAAAACAAGAAGCCCATAAAAAAGAGAAAGAGAAAGAAAAGAAACAACCTGAATGCTCATTCAAGAAAGAGGGATGCGACAGTTATGGGATATTCATACAACAACAGAATGTAGATCAATGCAAAGAAGTGACACATCAACGCATCAACACATCAACATGGATGAATCTCAAAAATAATGTGTCGAATAATACAATTCAATTGCTTAGGAATAAAAATGCATAATACTCTACGTAAAGTTCAAAAATAAACAAAGCTAAATAATATACCCTTTGGAAATCCGTATGCATGGATGTGGCAAATCCCTTAAAACAAGAAGCTGAACGTAAAATTTGGAATGTGAGCCGGGTGTAGTGGTGCGTGCCTATAGTCCCAGCTGCTCCAGAGGCTGAGACAGGACAATCGCCTGAGCCCAGGTGTTCAAATCCAGCCCGGGCAATATAGGGAACCCCATCTGTAGAAAAAATACAATAAAATAAAATGTAGGACATGCTTTTCTGAGAGGAGCAGAAAATAAATTGCATCAGATCAGAAAGGGGGGCGAGGCTTCATGAATATTAATGATGCTATATTATTAAACTGGATGGTGGACACACATGTGTTAAAGAGTATTCTTGGTTTAAAGTGCAGGTTTTCTTTTGTGTGTCTGATGAATCACCAAAAAACGCCTCCAAATCTTCCGATAGAAACATAGATGTATTGGTCAGAGGCCATTTCCACACATAAGAGGGACTGTGTTGCCTGGCAGGGCATCGATGGGCATCGGAGTTACTGTTTCTCATAACCTAGCTGACTCTTGCCTCCTCACTGAGTTTCTCTGAGGCCTGTTCACCCACAGGACAGCCCCCAGCATGCTCAGGAGCAGGGGCAGCTCCAGGAGGATCAGGAGCAGGACAGGGAGGCTGCTGAGCAGGGACCTGTGGGGACACGGTGACAGACAATGAGTCACCTCCTCAGGGGAGGCCCTGGTGCCCTCCACCTTTCCCCTATTCCTAGTGCCAAGGTACTATGGCCACATGAATCCACATAAAGACCAAACCTGGACATAGTGGCCAGACATGTTAAGAGCAGTGGCCCCTAATTATCACCTAAGAATTGCCTTGAGACAGGGCTGTGGGGTAAGGTAGGACAGGGCCATAGCAGCAATGTGAGGGGACACTCAGGGACCTGGTAGGACCTGAATCCACAAGAATCTCTACCAAAGCCCTTCATGTGAAGAAGCGCACCCTTCAGAGGTGCAGGCGATAAACTGGGTGGATATCTGTTGTATGCCTGCTCCTTTCCTTACGGCATTTCCCATAAAGGCAGGAGCCCTGTCTCGTCCTCTTCACAGACAAATTGGCACCTACCCTGTGGCTGCAAACGTCAGCCTGTAAAATTCATGGTAGTTGAAGGAGTGAACAAAGGACCAGCTCAGCGCTCAGCTCTCAGCTCCTCAGAAGACTGGGATCATCAAACAGGATGAGACTCTGGCCAGAACTGCAAGGGAGAGAGGGCCGGGGCCACCGAAGCCCAGAGCAGCTGCCCCCTGCCCTGGCCTGGCGAGGTCCCCAGGCTTCCTGGCAGAATATTTGCCTCGCTCCTCCCTCTGCCTGGAACCCTCTTCCTCCAGACCCCAGAGTACCCGGCTCCCAATCCTGCAGGTCTCCACGCTCATGTCCTCTGATCTGCGAGAATTTCCCTTGTCATAGTGTCCCAGATAATGTCCCCAACACCTTCCCAAACACACTCTCCCCAAACCCAACAAATTTCTTTTCCCAGCATTCATTACACTCTGGACACGGTGCCTGTATGGGCAGACATGGTCTACACTAGTGAGCAAGAGACTCAGTTAACTACCACATCAGGGGGTCACGGCCCTCAGTCCATTTCCAAATTTGCCCCAGTTAAAACCCACAGTCCGGGAATGAAGGAGAGGTCAGGTCCCCTTGAAGAAGGAGAAAGGGTAGGCCTGGTTACGCCACCACAATTCTCACAGAATCTTCTACCAGCTCTAGCAGGAGCAGGAAGTAGGGGCTGCTGAGCGGGGAGCTGTGGGGACACAGTGACAGGCAGCGAGTCATCCCCCGTAATGGACTTAAAGACACTGGCCAGGATGTGTCTACCTGAAGGAGGGAATAGTCAGGTTTTGGGGGAACCCTGGATCCTGTTCTGCAGGGACCCTCATTCGGAGAGGTCCAGCATGGTGCTTGGTCCACTATTCTCAGCAAGAGCCTGTGGAGATCAGGGAACAAAGGAGTTTTCACTCAGGTCTGGCCAAACCTACACATTGTCATTTCTTGGTGTTTGACAGCACCGTTGAATCGACACACTCAGCAAATGGACGCAGCCACTTATTCTGACCTCCTGGACCCAGGGAGTGTTGGCCATTACGGTGGCGAAGGTGCAGGGGAGTCCGGGACCCGCCTCTCCCTGTGAAAACAGTGGGGGAAGCAATCCCAGGCTCCTGGAGAAATGGAAGGGAGCAGGGAGGGCATCCGGGCACACAGAAGTGTTGGTGACAGCCCAAGGCTCAGCTGGGCAGGGTGTGCACATGAGACGTGGAGTCCCAGCTCAGGGCGTCTGTGTCCATCAGGTTCACGCGTGACACATGAGGATCAGGCACAGGGAAAAGGCTGGGGGAGGCTCACAGAGGATCCCAGGAGACACAGAGAGAGCAGCCCGGGAGGGATGGTCAGGTGGTCATTCCAGTCCCATAGAGGGGCTCTGTCACAGCGCAGGGCCTTGATGCACAGCTGATGCTACTGGTTCTCACCGTCCGGCTGACTCTGCCTGCTTCTTGAGCTTCTCTGAGGCCTGTTCACCCAAAGGACGGTACCCAGCATGCTCAGGAGCAGGGGCAGCTTCAGAAAGACCAGGAGCAGGAAGTGGGGGCTGCTGAGCAGGGAGCTGTGGGGACACGGGGACGGGCAGTCAGTCATCTCCCCAGGGGAGGCCCAGGTGCCCTCTACCATCCCCTGACCCTTGTGTCCGGATCCTGTGACCACAACCAGCCACATAAGAACCCACCCTGGACAGTCCATCCCCTCTCAGCACCATGGCCCCTGACCCTCAGCCTCAGACGTGCCCTTGACTGGAGGACTGTGACACAGGAAGGGCAGGAGCGTGAGAGGACGTGAGGTCATGCCAGGCATCCAGGCAGGGTCTGCGTCCTGGAGGCAGCTCTCCACCTCTGTGATCCACATGCAGGGTTACCCAGCTCGGGTACCAGAATCCACAAAAGGTTATTTGTGTGACTTCAGCTCTCCTGTGCACAGCGTTTCCAGGAGGGCAGGGACCATTTGTTTCTTTCACAGTGAGTCTCCTGCCTGCCCTGAGACTCCAATAATCTGCCTTACAACTTCAGTGCTTGCTGAAGGAATGAACGAATGGATGGACAGCTCAGCTCTCAGACCCTCAGAGGACTGGGCTCATCAAACGGGATGAGACTCTGGCCAGTGCTGCGAGGGAGGCAGGGGACAGGGCAGGGGCCACCAGACCTCAGAGCATCTACTCCCTGCCATGGCCTTGCCCGGTCCTGAGACTCCCTTGCAGGACATTTGCCTCGCTCCTTCTTCCTCCAGACCCCAGAGTGCCCAGCCCCCAGCCCTTCGGGTCTCCTCACTCATGTCCTCTAATCCTCAAATCCTCCTCTGATCATGGTCAGTGAAATAGCGACCCCAACGCCCACATACGCTCTCCCCAAACCCAACATTCCATTCATCCATTGCACTCATCATCCATTGCTGTATTTGTACATCAGCCTCTGTGCTGGCTTGTTTAATGCATGAATCCACCCGGCAGGACTCAAGTTCCACCCGAGCAGGACAGTGGCTGTCGATTCCCTGCTGTGACCCAATCCCAACAGGAGCGCCTGACACTTAACAGAACCTTCACATGAGGTGTGGGAGGCGTGGACAAAGAAGGGACGGGAAGAAGGGAGACCCAAGCCCCCTACACATTACACGCAGTGGAGAGGCCACACATGACCCGGTCCTCTGCGCAGGCTCCTTACCCAGGCTGTGGGCTGGGATCGGGGCTGTCCTCTCTGGTCGGGATGGGCCAGGTGTGCACGAGCAGCTTCGTGGGAGGACCCCAGGTGCCCGTAGAGCTCTGAGGGCTGGAGGCTGTGGTTGTCAGGGCTGTGGGTGAAACACAGGTCAGCACTGATGACGCCACATGGGTCTCCCCCTTGCTCTCACCTGTTCTGCTCCAATGTTCACAGACAAGGTCACCAATGATGTGCTGGACAGATGCCCTGCGTCCAACATGCCCCATGGCCACACCCAGGCCTGACCAGGGTCCTGAGCCTCTCCCTGTTGCACCCGTAGGTACTGCAGAGCCAGGATGGCACTTCACATATGAGGGTTGCCCTGCTCCCCAGCGGGAAGTCAGAGTCAGTGGCAAAGGTATGGGGCTCCAGCTTCTGCCCCAGCCAGGGAGGGACAGGGTGACCTGGAGGAAAGGGGTGATGTTTGCTCTGGGAAGGGCAACCGGCAGTCACTGCAGAGCCAAAGCCCTGGGCATGACAGTGGCTGGATAGAGGCTGGAAGTGAGGACAGGAAGTCAGCGGGGTCCTCCCTCAATGCTGGGACCAGAGTCCACTCAGCCCCATCCAGCCATGTCACGGCCCCACAAGGCCCCTGGACTATCCTTTTTGGGGAAGGAAGGCCTAGGAAGAAAGATCTAGAGAGGGGACACCAGGAGGAGCCTGGGCGGTGGCCCGTGGTGAAGACGCTGGACAAGAGCCCTTTCCTCCTCCCCCTGCACCCTCAGGAGGATCTTAGTTCCTCACTCCTAGACAGGAAGGCACAAAGGGCACGGGAGGAACATGTCTGACCCAGGGAAATGGAGACCAAGAAGAAGACACTCAGAGGAACCCCGGAAAGTGCACAGAGGGGTCTCCAACCTCAGGGCCAGTGTCCCCTGCAACACACACATGCAGGTGCACACACACACAAACCACACCACACTCCTAGGCATGTACCCACACACAAAGACACACACACTCATCCACACAAGCGGCACACACAGTGTCCCGAGTCACTGACCTCCAGCCTCACACACTCCTGTCCCACTTCTTTCTTCAGGGACAGAATGAGCAGCCCTAGACTCAGGCAGGTCTGGTGCTGGGAACAGGAGGGGCTCACCTGGGAACACGGCCACCTCAACCTCGATGACGGGATCCTCCAAGTCTCGGAGCCATGGTGTATCCACCCCACACCAGTATGTGCCTGCGTCGTCCTCTGTAAGATTCTTCAGGGTCACTGTGAAGCTGAGGTTTGTAGGATGGTCCCTGATGGACACTCGGCCATTCCTCACTTTTCCTGCTGACCCTCTGGTCTCCACAATAGTGACACATCCAATAGTCCACCGTGCTCTGCACCAGTATTTGTTGAGTCTCCTGTGTTCCTCCTCATACCCACACTGCACGCTCAGGGATCCGCCCACGGGGCCCGCCACGGTGCTGGGGCCGCTCAGAGCAAAACAGCCTGGAAAACACAAGGCCGAGTCCCGGCTCCTCCTCAGATGGGCCCGGCCAGGGGTGCCCCGAGGTCAGGGCCGCATGGACCCTGGGGGTGTGGAAGAGGCAGTGGCAGGCAGGCAGGCCTTGTCCACCCAGGAGCGAGGACTAAGGGTGACAGGCTCCCTCTCTGCAGAAGTGGGAAGGGCATGGGAAGTTTTCATGGAGACTGGAAAGGGCAGGCTGGGAAGGCTCTGGGTGTGTGCAGGCCTGTGTGTGCGTATGAGTGTGATAGTGTGTGATCGTCCCGGATAAAATTTGTGGAGAACTTCAGCAATGACAGTCACAGCATCACCTCCCACCTGGGGCTTCCTGTCTCGGGCACAGAGGAACAGGCCTCCCCCGAGCTGTGCCCTGCGGCCTGCTGTCCCCTGGTGAGGCAGCTGCTGACCGCTCCTGGATGCTCCTCCGCCCTCCTCCCTTCTCCCCGTCCCCGATCCCCTCTATGGCTGCTCCTCCGCCGCCTACACCCAGCCCTGCCCTCTCCCACTCAGGACAGATCTCCCGGAGTCCAGGGCCAGCCCCCTCACCTGGGACAAGCAGGAGGAGCAGAGCTGAAGGCCACCATGAGGACCAGGCCCTGGCTGTCATTCCTGCAGCGTGGATGTCACCTGCAGCTGTGCAAGACCTCAGGAGGGGACAGCGTGGAGCCTCCTCCCAGCAGATCTGAGCTTCCCTTCTGCTTTTCTTCTGCTCTCAGCTTCCTTGACTAGCCCTGTCTCAGGTCTAAGGCTGGAGAGGGTCAGGGTACAGGAAGCTCAGGGGAGAGCCGCCAGGGCTGAGGCTGGGGCTGACAGCTCTGGGATGGTCCTCGCGGCTCCTCTCAACCCTGAGGTCTGGCAAAGTCCAGGGTCCCTTGGGTGGGAATGCATCCACTTCCGCACAGCCCACAGCTTCTGGTTTCAGTGTGTTACTCACACTCCAAAAGGTAGAGCCAAGCTGGGGCATTTCCACAGCGGCTGCTCCACCCTCTGTGACATGTCACTTCCACGTCAGGATGGATAGTCCTGTGGTGGGAGGCTCGATCTGCCACCTCTTTAGCCTTTGAGGTGACTCTTAATCTTCAGCTAGGTCCCTGCAGAGAGCTCTGCCCCTAAGACCCCAGCTCATCTGGACTCAGAAGTTAGCATAATGAAGCCAGACACCATCTGCATGGCCCTTTTTGGTGCTGCGTCCCCAGCCAGGTTCTAATCCCACATGCTTGGGGGGGTTTCTTCTTGTGCCTCTGCCCCCAGACCTAAACGCAGAGCAGCACCACCCACCGGAGACCTCCTTTTCCATCTTGTATTCTTGCCAAAATCCACACGCCAGTGAGGATCGGGGCAGAGAATCGAGAGCACAAGAGTCTAGAGGCATGAAGATGCTGCCATGGGACTGTGGGGATGATGGTAGCTGTAACTGAGCCAGCACACATCCTAGGGCACACAGAGGGTGGTTGGTGCCCGAGAGGACAGCTCGTCATGAGCAGCAGCTTCTGGTATCTGTCCTGGGTCCACTGTGATGGCCAGGCACCTCCCCAGGGAGCAACCATGGGGGACATGCCTTCCCCGCAGGAGGGGGCCCGTGTCTGCCCACACTCCAGTTTCATGCCCCCACCTGCTTCCTTTCAGCAGGCTCCTCCAGTCTGGGATATTTCTTTCCCCTGCCCTGAAATCACCCCAGGGCCAGGTACCAGGCAACTAGGCACCACCCCAGCCCATCAGAATTATTCAAACTACGCACTCCAAAACCTGCTGTCTGCTTGTCTTACCTTGCCTGTTCCTTCCTCTGAAAACCACAATCAAAGCTCCCACCCACATTTCCTCTCTCTCCCTCTGCCCTCTCAGCCACCCTCGTGCTTCCCCACGTGGCCCCACGTGGCCCGGCGCACCTCCTGCTTCTAGGGATCAGTGAGTAGAAACACATTTCTTCACGACAGTCGTTTCGATGTCTGCATGCCTTACCATATTCATTAAAACAAATCCAAGTTCATTTCTTTGTTTTATTTTGAAACAGGGTCTCGCTCTGTCACCCAGGCCAGAGTTCAGTGGTATGATCATAGCTCACTGCAGCCTCCATCTCCCAGGGTTAAGCGTTCTTCCTGCCTCAGCCTCTGAGGCATGCGTGCCACCATGCCTGGCTAATTTTTTTTTTAGTAGGCATGAAGTCTTACTGTGTTGCCCAGGTCTCAAACTCTGAGCTCAAGCAATCTTCCTGTCTCAGCCTCGTAAAGTGCTGGCATTACAGATGTGAGCCACCACACCCAGCCTCAGGTACATTTTTAAACACGACCTCAATACATTAATCTGGTCTCTGAAAAACTCAGAGAGGTCCCATCAGATAACAGTAAACCAACTTAAACTGAACCAGTCGATGGTCCAACCACAGTTGTTTTCCTTGATGTACTATCTTCATGAACACAGTCTCTGGCACTTGGTAAGCTGCTCTTGGATGTGGGAGAAGCATTCTTTTCCATCCTCTCAAAGAAGGAAGAGGAGAAGTGCTTCCTATTTACTTGAGAAGAGTAATAGTACACATTCTAATCGATCAGGATTTCTCTCAAGTCTTCTGCTCTGTCACAACATAGATCAAAGGGACCTTGATTAGGCACTCCACAGAACGTCACGCTGCTCTATCTTGTGGATGCTGGAAGAGCAGGAAGAAGCAAATGCTTTAGGTGCTCTAGGAAGACACATCTGCACCAGAAGGAGGGAGATGAAACCTAGAGAGTTTCAGGGGTCCAGCCCATATGTGCCATCTTTAGGAGTCCATGCTCTGCGTTCTTTTGTTTTGCATTTCAAGCCTCTAAGCAAAAAGCATGGTGCTTACCAGGCCTCTTTGCAACTCTTGGAATACTGAATACTGCTTGGACTCCTAGGTGACTTCAATATCCACCTGTTTTGAGTAGGGACTGACAGATCCAGGGAGAGGTAAAAATGGCCCTGCCATTTGGGTCCATAGGACCTAGTTGACTTCACAGCACTAGACCTCTCAATGGAAGATAAGAATGCCATGGGGCACCGTTGGCAAGCCTCAATAGGAGCAGTGCAGGGCAGACGAGGACATGTCATTTCAGCAGAGAACCACTCACCGTTCGGATGCCCCTAACACGCTGCTGTGCCAAAGTGGAGATAAACAACCAATTCAACCTCATGACGCAGTGGCTCTGCCATTACCCAGCTCATGATGGCGGCTCCAGCCACATATCACTTGCTGTCCGGAGCTGCTCCCTCAGCTGTCACATGGATGGCTTTGTAGGGCGTTTCCTATAATCCACTATCAGGGGAGGAAGCAATCCAATATGATTTATGAGCAGATGAACTTGCAACAGTATGATTTCCTCTGTGAAAGATTCAAAAACAAGTAGGTTCTTGCTCAGCGCCCTAAAGCAAGGGAATAATTACCCCAAGAAACGTCCGGATACTGTTTAACTCTGAGAGTAGGGGAAAGACAGTTGTGGGGTCAGGGAGAGGCATCTAGGGGCTTCCAATGTCCTAATAATGATTGATTTCCTAGGCTGAATGGTGGGTACACATGTTTATTTTTAGTGATTGCACTATATAGATGCCTCATATACATACTCTTGTGTATGTGATATATTTATTTATTTATATTTATGTATTCGAGTCAGGGTCTCACTCTGTCACCCAGGCTGGAGCACAGTGGTGCAATCCCGGCTCAATGGAACCTCTACCTCTGGGGCTTAAGCAATCCTCCTATCTCAGCCTCCCAAGTAGCTGGGACCACAGGCACACACCACCACGCCTGGCCAATTTTTGTATTTTTTGTAGAGATGAGGTCCCACCATGTTGCCCAGGCTGGTCTCAAACTCCTGAACTCAAGTGATCTCCCTGCCTTGGCCTCCCAAAGGGCTGGGATCACAGGTGTGAGCCACCGTACCCAGCCTACATTTTTATTGTAACTTTGATTTTTAACAAGTATCTGGCAATAAGATGGAAAGAAATATGAGGGTCAGGGTCAGAAGTCCTTTCTGTAGTCAGAGGGGTTGTGTCTCCAGGCAGGACACCAATGGTCATAGGGTGTTGTAAGTTCTCCTGCCCGTGGCTCTGTCCAAGGAGTCCTCCAAGGCCTGCTCAGCCAGAGGATGGCACCGAGTGTGCTCAGGAGCAGAGGCACCTTCAGGAGTAAGAGGAGCAGGAAGTAGACATTGCTGGACCTGTAAGACAGAGAGAGTGACCGGCAGTGAGCTGCCTCCTCCGGGAAGTCCAGGCTCTGCCTCTCTCCTTCTTTTCTTCGAGATCCGGTCCTGTGCCCTCAAAACCCAACATCAGCATCAAGCCTGGTGGGTACCAGGGTCCGGCAGCCCCATGCTGAGGGTCACAGGTTCCTGACCTTCAGCTCGGAACTAACCTTGAGTGTCAGGACCCAACAGACGCAGGAAGGAGGTTGGTGAGGGATGGTGAAGAAGAGAGATATGGGAACCCAGGCGGGAACTGGCTCCACAAACAACTTCCTGAGCAGATCCCTCAGCCACCGATGCCTCCAGGAACTCAGCTCTTGCTGGGAACAAAAGCTCAAGGATGAAATATTCCTGTACAACCACCCTCACTCAAATTAAAGATGATCACGAGAGCAGCTCTTTGGCTTCAACTGCCTAACAACCTCAACCCCAAGGAGTGACCTCTCCAAGCTCAGCCCACAGCCAATCCCCTCACCCCGTGGGTCCCACTACGCTGCTCCCATTCCAACTCCTCAAATGCTGCATTCTCTCCCCAAAACAGGCCACTGTGCCTATCTCTCCACCTTCCAGGCCCTCCACCTTTTGGGCTTGTCGGACACCCTCCCTGATGGTCTCTAAGATGAGCCTCTGTAACAAACCCTCTTGGTGCCCTGCCCCATACCCCCTTTGCCCACTTGAGCTCCTGGCAGCTGCAGGCAGTCTTGGCCCCACCAAGGATTTCCCAGCTCAAGCTCCCCATTTCTGCTTGAGTTTATCTACAGGAGCGCACACATTTTCCTGTGCAGAGCAAGCCAGATGGGCCACAGAATTCACGCCCCCAGGAGTGCCTTCTGCCTGGAAGATTCTGTCTCCGGTTCTGAGGAATATTCTACACAATCTCTCATAGGGTGCCCAGAAGGACTGATCTCCAGTTACTCCAGTTACGACAGTGATAACCACTTCATTACGGTACCTCTCAGTGACTTTCCTCTTTCCTGGTGTCACTTTCTGCTCTCTCAATGTACTTCCTGAGATCACCTCTCAATAAACAAATCACTCCTAAGTCCTTGTCTCAGGACCTGATTCTGGGGAGTCCCAAACTAAGACAGTCTCTTTGTTTTTTGTTTCCATTGAACATCTTGTATTTCCTTGATAGCCTAAATTATGCCCCGCCAACTTCCCACACACTCTGTCACCCTATCTCTTTACACCTGCTTTATTTTCCTCCCTAATAATTAACATGAGTTGACATATTTCCTTGATCTATCAGCTATCTATCCATCTCTATTACATCTACCATCTATGATCTCCATCTGTCTATCCAGCCAGCCAGCCAGCCATCTCTATCATCCGTCACGTCATATCTTTGTCTGTCTGTCTGTCTGTCTGTCTGTCTGTCTGTCTGTATGTCTATCTATCTATCTATCTACCTATCTACCTATCTATCTATCTATCTGTCTGTCTGTCTGTCTATCTATCCATCTGGCCGTTGTCTAAATCTACCTATTTGCAACTTCCTCAAGAGCACAATCTTGCCCATTTGTTCACTGTTGCATCTCTAGAATCTTGATCTGTTTCTGGCACATAACAAATAAATATTTGTTGAGTGGGAAACCTGTCTAGGAAGCCCCACTCTAGGAAAGACGCTACACAAATGGCACTGCGACACGTGCACCTTACCCTCGGCATTGGCCAGGCCCGGTGGGAGATCCAGGTGTCTTCACAGAGTTCTCGGCCCTGGAGCCTGTGGTGGAGGCTGAGGGTAAAGAACAGAGAGGCTCAGTGCCCTATGCCTGACTCCTCCCAGCTGAGTACCTGGCACCTGCATGGTTCTGACTTTATAAAGCAGAGGACACTTAAGGAGGCAGCTGGACAGATGTTCTGGGATCATCTCCCCATAGGCAGACTGAGGCCTGACTGGAGTGCGAGAACATCCCCATCCAACCCCATTCCAATGGATGCTATGCTCTGCAGCCAGGCGGGCATTTTATAAACCAAGACCAGAGGATGACAGCCTTGTCCCATGTTGGTGTCCCCCATCTCGCTGAAAAGAGATGCCGAGGGTCAGTTAGACTGAGGTTCCAAAAGCCCCCATCCTTGCCACACACCACCACTGCCCTCCAGCACACACTGTCTCTCTCTCACACACACACACACAAACTCTCTCACACCTGCACACACTCTCACATGTGCACTCACACACCTTCACACACACCCACTCACATGCACATGCTCTCACACACACCTTCACACCTGCATTCACTCTTACATATTCACACACAACTCATCTTCACACACTAACCACACACACTCACTCACTGAAACACACACGTATTTCCCACACTCATTCACACGACACACTCCGTCCTGAGTCTCTGATGCACAACACTAGGCCCAGTTCTTTTCTCCTGAGCCAGAATTTCCGTGGCTGCTCTGCAGAGAGACGACCTCAGATGCCTGAGAAAAGAGGCTCTTACCTGAGGAAACCAGCACTTGAACCTGGAAGAAGGGTTCGGGCAGGAGGCCGGACAGGCCGTCTTCCTGCAGTATCGTTGCAATCCCACATCGGTATTTTCCTGCATCTTCTGCCGTGAGGTTCTCCAAGGTCACGGTGAAGGTACGGTCCCCAGGATGGTCTGTGATGATCACTCGGTCACTCCTCACCACTGTCTCAGACCCTGTGGTCTCCACAGTTTCATGCCAAAATGGCAAGCATGGTTGTCTGCACCAGTATTTGTTAAACATCTTGTATTTCTCTTCATACTGACACTGCACACTCAGGGATGACCCCACAGTGCCCATCACAGTGCTGGGGCCACTCACAGTCAGACAGCCTAGAAAACACAAGTGCGTTTCCCCATCTTCACCTGGAAGAGCCTGGCCCCCTGGAACCTGGAATGTCAGGTCCTCTGCACGCCCAGTGTTGCCTGAGGCTGGAGGAGGGAGGAGTCAGGAACCAGGTGTGATGCCCGGTGTGGGATCCTGAGACTCCAGAGGCCATGCCCAGCCTGGGTGTGCTCAGCCATCTTAGAATATCAGGGGGAGAGGCTTGACCTTGGTGGCTTCAGACAGGTCTGGGTCCCCCAGAAGTGTCAGTCCTGAGAAGAAACACCTGTAGGGCTCCGCTCCACGCTTTATTCAGTCCAGACCCTGACCCTGAGCCAGTGTGGGCAGCCCCCTCCTCCTCCACCCCGACCCTGCTGCCATCCAACAAGCTCCCCACCTACCCAGCCTTGCAAAGAACCTGACTTTCTCCTTCCAACATCATTTACGGAAACTCTCAGACAGGCTGGCCACAAGCCTTCCGGGTCAGACATCACAGGTTCCTTCCCACCCTCTCTTCTCTGCAGCACCCACCCGCCTTGGCATGTCCTGGGCTTCTTCAGATCTTCTGCCCCCTCCGAGATTTCGACATTACTCTCCCTGTTCCAGTCCCCTTCTCATTCCTCCACCCATTCTGCAGGCTCCGGGTCCAAATGATTAGGACCCAGCCCCATAAACTCTCTGCTTCCTGCCTCGGGGGCCTCACCAGTCCTAAACAGCTGCTGTCTCATCTGCCCTTGGCAGGGAGGTGGTAACCCAGGGCACAAAGACTATTGAGAAATGGTTTCGGCAAAATACCAAGCTCCTGAAAAGGAATTATGGATGTAATCTTTCTACCTATCGTTTTTTTTGTTTTTCGCTTTTGTTACCCACATCTTGTTACTCCACAGGCTGGAGTGCAATGGCGCGATCTCGGCTCACCGCAACCTCCACCTCCTGGGTTCAGGCAATTCTCCTGCCTCAGCCTCCTGAATAGCTGGGACTACAGGCACGCGCCACCATGCCCAGCTAATTTTTTGTATTTTTAGTAGAGACGGGGTTTCACCATGTTGACCAGGATGGTCTCGATCTCTTGACCTCGTGATCCACCCGCCTTGGCCTCCCTAAGTGCTGGGATTACAGGTATGAGCCACCGTGCCCGGCCCCTACCTATCATTTTTCTATCTATCCATCTGTGGGGAGCAGCACAGGCCAAATCCTGGGGCCAAGAGAGCCCAGGTGCCGCTTGTGGGAGGCTGTGAGCAGCAGGCCAAATCCTGGGGCCAAGAGAGCCCAGGTGCCGCTTGTGGAAGGCTCAAGTCCTGATGATTCAGGTCCAGCCCGTGGACGGCACGAGGCGGCACGGGGCTGGTAGTGGCACGAGGCACACCAGGCCGGAATTTTCCAACTGCAAGCTTCCTTTGCCCCGCCTCCTTGCCTGGCCTATTTAAGCTGTGAGCTCAGCAACAATAAACGAGACTTGATCAGACTCCTGTCTTGTCTCCATTTCTCGCGTCTCCTGCCCATCCATCCCCACTCCCTCCCTTCGGGGCCCCTGTTGTCGTCCTGCAGGTCGGGACATCCATCCATCCATCTTTCATTCAATCACCCATCCATCTAGGTAATATGTTGCCATTCACTGATGGCGAGGCTTTGCTATGTTTTATTGTGAATCAAAAGTAAAACCTGGCCAGGTGTGGTGGCTCATGCCTGTAATCCAGCACTTTGGGAGGCTGAGGGGGATGCATCTCCTGAAGTCAGGAGTTCGAGACTAGCCTGGCCAATATGGACAAACCATGTCTCTACTAAAAATACAAAAAAAGTAACTGGGCGTGGTGGCGGGTGCCTGTAATCCCAGCTACTTGGGAGGCTGAGGCAGGAGAATCACTTGAACCCAGGAGGTGGAAGTTGCAGGTGAGCCGAGATCCTGCCACTGTAGTCCAGCCTGGGTGACAGAGTGAGACTCCATCTCAAAAAAAAAAGAAAAGAAAAGAAAAGAAAAAACCTTATCTTTTGCGTCTTCATTTTATTATCTCACATTTTCTCATTTTATTTCCCAGAAAGCAGGCTTAAGGGGCTCAGTGATCTATTCTGTGTTAAAATGCTGTCTGCTCTCTGAAGCAGTGGTTCTCACCTGGGTGGGTGAGGGGGATCATTTGGCAGTGACTACAGATGTTTTTGGTTGTCCCAACTTGGAGTGGGGAATTGCTGCTGGCATCTGGTGGGTAGAGACCAAGAATGCTGTTAAACATCCGGCCGGGCGCGGTGGCTCAAGCCTGTAATCCCAGCACTTTGGGAGGCTGAGGCGGGTGGATCACGAGGTCAAGAGATCGAGACCATCCTGGTCAACATGGTGAAACCCCGTCTCTACTAAAAATACAAAAAATTAGCTGGGCATGGTGGCGCACGCCTGTAGTCCCAGCTACTAGGGAGGCTGAGGCAGGAGAATTGCTTGAACCCAGGAGGCGGAGGTTGCAGTGAGCTGAGATCGCGCCATTGCACTCCAGCCTGGGTAACAAGAGCGAAACTCCGTCTCAAAAAAAAAAAAAAATCCTACAGTGCACAGGACAGCTGCCTATACACAGAATAACGCCCCCAAATGTCCACAGTGCTGAGTGCCAGGAGCCTTGTCCCAGGGAAGAACTGCCTCTCAGGCTCAGGCCTGGGAGCCAGGAGCGGGTGGCGGCACCCAGTCCTCTCCTGCAATTGCTGCTGCTCTAAGCTCAGGCTCTGCGGGCGCTGTTAGCCTGTTCTTTCAGGTCCTTAAACCTCTCTTGATGATTTGGGGCTAATTCCGCAGGTCTGGGAGGAAGAACATTGTGGGGCACACACTGAATCCCACCATGGAGCCTCCCTCCCCTCGGATATTCAGTCCAGACCCTGACCCTGAGCCAGCATGGGGAGCCCCCTCCACTTCCATCTCCACCCCAACCCGGCGGCCACCCAGCAAGCTCCCCACCTACCCAGCCTTGCAAAGAAACTGACTTAACTCCTTCCATCATCATTTATGGAAACTCTCGGACCAGGGCTGACCACAGGTTCCCAGCTGTCTCACCCTTCCAGGGTCCGTTTCGTAGCAGCCCTGGGGCCAGGGTTCCCACTTGAGGATGGACACCCAGAGTTCCCATGCTGGGATGGAAGTGCCTCCAGATATGTAAGCAAAACTTTACAAGGAGGCACAGCGGAAATTGACATTGAATTATAGAAGAAGCAGTGATCTTGGAAATAAAAGTTTTTTAGGTTTGCACCTGACTGTGCCTTTTATTAACTGTTTAATCTAAATTATTTGTACCTCTATGAGCAAGCCTGGGTCTCTTGTTTTCATCAGGATTGCAATGAGAATTAAATTAGATAATGGGAAACAAGACCAGTGATTAGCCCAGTAAGTACTGGTTTTCTGCTCCCTATTCTCCCTTTTCTCTGATGGATTGAGGCAGCATTCCTGATTTTAATAATGATGATAATAATGATTAAAGTTGCCCAATCTACTTAGGGCTTACTGTGTGGGAAGCAGTCTACCATTTAATCCCCACCCTATCCCAATGAGGAGATTTGAGAAGCTTCTATGCACACCTTCCTCTCTCTTCCTTGGCATCATTTCTTCCCCTTGCCCATGGCCAGGCTTTTCTTGTCCCTGCTCACCCTGACCTGCCAGAGCAGACCTCCCTGCACCAGGACCCACCCTGCTCACCTGGGACACAGAGAAGGAGCAGAGCAGAAGGCAGCCCGGCAGCCCCAGCCCTCCGGGTCATCTCACCGGCACGGAAGTCCCTTGTGGCAGCAGAGTCTGAGGCTGGAGCCCAGTCACAGAGGGTCAGCTCACCTGTGCCCTCTTTGCTGTTCTAGACACCGCTCGTTTCCTTCTCCAGCCTCTTCTGTGTTTGGTTTTTAGAGCTGGTCAGAGTATGGAGGAAGCCGGGGACACAGGGCACTGTGTGGTCAGGTGAAAACAGTGCTGAGAACTGGCTGAAGTTCTTCCTAGTAAAACATGTTTGCATTTACAGTTCCCCTTTCTGTTCCCAGTGAAGACAACGTTCCCCTCATTAACCACAGCAGAACTGCCCTTCTCCAAATCACAGCACGGCCTGGGACAGCAGTGAGACTGGGCCAGCTGTCATCTGCATCTTCTGGGCAGGTTCTCCCCTCGGTGAATGGTCAGTTTCCTGCGGTTGGCATGAGCTGTCCCAGGGCCTGGCTCAGCCTTCTCTGGATGAGACCAGCTATTTGCAAGGCCCAGTGTAGGGTTCCACGTAGGGTTCCAAAATGATTAAGAATTTCAAGAATTTCAAGATGATGACAGCCAAGCATTAAGCATGGGGCCCTTCTAAGAGCGGGGCCTGTGAGGCTGCATGGGGTGGGGGCACACCCAGGATGCCCACTGGTCCATCTCTGATCCTTGGTGGTACAGATGGGCTGGGTGCAACCTCGGGGGCTCTGACCTCCTACCCCCTGGCTTTTGCTCTGACCTCAGCAGACCCCAGATGTTCTTGTCTTGGTCACTGTTCTCCTGAACGTTTTTGCAGACCTGGCACCAAGCAGGGCTTGACGGACCAGCTATAAGCCTTGCTTTTGAGCTATGTGGCTCTTCCTGTCACCCAAGATGGTCACAGAAAAGTTTCAATAAATCAAGAGCTAACTCAGGGGAACCTGGCCAGAAGTTGCCCGATATACACAGAATGGCTGCAGAGGACGTATAAATGCAGGCACAGCTTCAGAACGCCTCATCCAGGGACTTGGATTCTTGGAACGAGGAAACTCTAAAATCCTGGCATTCTGCTATCAAATGTCTCCTCCTATGTGGGTGTTTCAATAAGTGTATTTCCTGCTTGTTCATTTTTGCTGCATTTGGAGTCCTCATATTTTGTGTGTGTGTGCACCTGTGTGTGGTGGATGGTATATGTGTGTGGTATGTGGGATATATATGTAGTGTGTGAGGTATGTGTGTATGTATGTACATGTGATGTGTGGGGTGGTGAGAGTGGAGTGTGTATGTGTGATGTGTGTGGTGAGTGGTGTGTGTGAGATGTGTGTAGTGTGTGTACGTGTGTATATGTGGTATGTGTGTGGTGTGTGGAGTGTGTATATATGCATGCATGTGGGAGTGCGGGGGGTGTGGGGGGATGTCCATGCGTGGTGTATGTGTGTGGTGTGTGGGGTGGTGTTTGTAGTATGTGTATGTGTGTGCATTTGAGGGAGCATGTGATGTGGTATGTATGTACATGTGCTGTGTGTGTTATGTGTCAGATGGTGTGTGGTATGTGTATATATGAGGGGTGTGTGTGTCCATGCATGGTGTATGTGGTGTATGGGGTGCTGTGTGTAGTGTGTGTACATGTGGTATATGTGGTGTCTGAGGTGGTGCGTGTATATGTGTGCATGTGTGGAAGTGGGGTGTATGTGTGTACATTATGTGTACATGTGGTGTATGTGTGTGGGGTGTGGAGTGGTGTGTGGAGTGTGTGTATATGTGGTGTATGTGTTTGGTGTGTATAGTGTGTGTATATGTGTATGTGTGGGGGTGGGGGTGTGTATGAAGTGTGTGTGGTGTGTGAAATGGTGTATGTAGTGTGTGTATGTGTGTGCATGTGTGGGGGTGGGGGTGGGGTGTGTACATGTGGTGTATTTGTGTGGTGTGTGGGGTGGTGTGCATAGTGTGTGTATGTATGTGCATGTGTGGGGTGGGTGTGTGTGTGTGCATGTGGTTGTATGTGTGTGGAGTGGTATATATAGTGTATGTATGTGTGTGCATGTATGGGGTGGGGGTGGCGGTGTGCATGTGTGGTGTGTAGGGGTGGGGTGTGTGTGTACATGTGGTGTTTGTGTGTATGGCGTGTGGGGTGTGCATTGGTGTGCACATGTGTATGGAGGGGAAGCAAGAGCTGAAAGTGATAAGATGTCTCCCCTCGCAGCCTGCACAGCCAGTTTTGAGTCCCACCCTTTGCGCCTGGCTCTGGGCGCTAAGGAAAGGCTTGCCTGGTCCTCAGTCTCCCTGGAGTTGTGACGAGGGCTGCTCAATGCGCCTTTCTCAGAAGGCAGGGATCTGAGCCTGTGGAGGAGATGGCGCACGGCTACAGACTTTTCCAGAAGGCACTCTCACCATCATCTGCACAAGCCGCCGGGTGCATGGGTTGTATTAGTCAGCGCTTTCTGGCTCACGTTGCCATAGCAAAACTCCCAAATCTCAGCATGTTGTAGCCACAAAAGCTTGTTTCTCACTTGTCTACATGCAAGCGGTGGGTCAGTGTTGCCTGGGCACCAGGCTGCCGGAGCCCAGTCCGCTGGAGGAGAGGGAAGTCACCGGGTGGCTCTCACAGCCTCTGCTCTGGCTCGCCTGAAGTCAGTGGGAAGGAGAAGTTCAGTCCTCCCGCAGGGGAGGCAGCAAGTCGCTGCCCACAACCACAGACCCCACCCCTGGAGGTTCCCGAACCCGGCTGGAAGGGACCCCGCGGCATCCGGACTCCGTGGCTTCTTGCTCATCCCAGGTCAGGGCAGGGAGAGGCTGCAGGGCCTGCTTAGAAATAGTCATTGTGAGTTTCATAGCTAGGACCAGACACTTTGCCAAATGCAGAGGCCATGGCAATGCCACGGGGAACCCAACTTTGAAGCAGATGTACTCTGGGCCCTGGAGTTCCCCAGGAGATGACAGATTCCTTGAAGAGATGACCCGCATCTGGGACATCCAGGCTTTTTCCACGTCAAGGCCAGCATCTGGAGCCACTGTCCCCTCCCGAGCAGGCCCTTGTCCTCCCGTCTCTGAAACCTGTCCTGTAAAATGCTCTCCGCTCCAGGAGGGCGGAGCTGGGGGAGGTTGGAGAACAATGAACACTGGTCATGAGGGACAGCAGGGCAGGGAGCCAGGGGCCCCACCTGGCACGGCGGCACACTGAGACTCCGACCATCACTGACCTTGGGGGACAGCTCTCAGGGCTCCCAGAAAGTTAAGATTTCATCCGGGAGGGGTGCATTCTCAGGGCGAACTCCGGGTTTGGGATGTGTAGGGCAGAGTGAGCAGCCCCACACACTTCTCTCTGCCTTTCAGGGCTGTGCTTGTCTTTCTTCTTCCTCGAAGGCCGTCGTCCTTCCTCCCTTCTCATTCTCCCAGGACGACCTCTCCTGCAAGGCACCCCTGCCTGCTCCAGGTCTTCCAGATCCCTCCCTCTGGGGTCCCTGTTACCTGCAGTGTTGATTTCTGTATTTAATCTCATGTCCCTGTGTTGTCATTGTCCTGTTGCATGGGGTCCATTTCCAGGTGAGGCTGTAGCCTCCACAAAGGCAGGACCAATCTGGTCCTGCCTTGACCCAGAGATCAGACAGAGCTCAGCCTCAGCCTCGGGAGCTGAATTGGAGGGTGAGAGGTCAACCCTTCCACACTTTCCAGGAAAGAGGATCAGGAATGTATGAAGGCCTTGGGTCTCTTTTCTCTCACCTCTCCTACCCCACATCGATCCATTTGGAGACTGGTTCTCAGTGACCTGTTGCATCATGGTGAGAATGGACAAGCACCCAAGGGTGGTGGACCCGCTGCCGGCTTTCCTCCCTCCCCACTGGGCACTCAAGGGAGACATCAACAAATGGGAAGTCTCCCGACTAGCTCTGGGCAACAGACACCTCTCTGGGATCTTGTTACAAATACCGGGCTCTTTAGGGAGCAGAGTGTGGGGAGGGTCTTTCCAACATGCGGGGCTGGGGCACTGCTGGGAGCCTTGCTCAGGGAGGGTCTCTACCTGACTCACATGGGCCATGTAGTAGAGTGAGGAAGGTTCTGACCTTGAGCTGGGAGCCCTGCACTCAGATTTTAAGGTCTGCTATTCACTAGTTATAGGACTTCAGGCAAATCAACAAAAGTTTCTTAGCATCAGTCTCCTCATCTATGAAATGGGAATAAAAATATTCACCCTGCTCAATCCCAGGAGTTGAGCAGAGGCATCTGAAGGTGGTGGCATCCCTCTGAGGAACTTTCCTCTTTTGATCTACATACCGTGTACTTTGTACATTTAAATTCTGCACTACCCATCTCAATGCCCCTGCCAGATCACTTTTAAATAAGATGACTGGAACAGGAAAGATGAACTAAACTGTCATCATGGGACGTGGGGAGGGCGGGATTTGAAACCCAGTCTTTAGTGGGGTCCCAGCTCTGGCTTTTGTAGGGATTGCAGCTCTCAGGCAGGGGTAACATGGGCTGAGAGATGGCAAATGGAAGACGTCTCCCTCTAAGTCTTATTTCACTTAGTATCTGTTCCCGGAGCAGCAGGAAGTATCTTCAGGGGAAGTTAATAACACAACAAAGCCTGCTTCTGGGTCTCTGCTATGGACCGATAGGTTCCCTCCAAAATTCGTATGTTGAAGCCCTAACCCATAATGTGGTGATGTTAGGACATAAGGCCTATGAGAGGTAATTAGGGTTAGATGAGGTCATGAGGATCGGGCCCTCATCATGGGATTAGTGCCCTTATCAGAAGAGGAAGAAAGAGAGCTCACTCTTTCTTAGTCCATTTAAGCTGTTACTTCAAAATACCATAGACTGGGTGGGTTATAAACAACAGAAATGTATCACTCACAGTTCTGGAGGCTGGAAAGTCCAAGATCAAAGTGCCAGCAGATTCGGTGTCTGTTGAGGGCTCACCTTCTGGTTCATAAAGAGTACTTTTTTGCTGTCTTCATACGGTGGAAGGGGCGAGACAGCTCTCTGGAGCCTCTTATATAAGGGCACTAATCCTATTCACAAGGGCTCCACCCCCACAACTGAATTATCCCCAAGGATCCACCTCCTAATACCATCACACTGGGGATAGGTTTCAACACATGAATTCTGGAGAAACGCTAACACTCAGACCATAGGACTCTCTTTGCCATATGAGGATACAGAAAGATGGAGGCCATCTGCAAGTCAGGGAGAGAGTCCTCACCGAACACCAAACTTACGAACATCTTGATCTTGACTTCCCAGCCTCCAGAACTATAAGAAATAAAGATCTCTTGTTTATAAGCCACTCAGTTTATGGTATTTTGTTACAGCAGCCTGAGCTGACTGAGACAACGTGCTGGTGTCTGTCCCAACTCTTCACTATTCTGGGTTTTCAGCAAGCATCACCTGTGCGCCTTTTCCCTGGAGGAGCCCTGGCTGGGGCAAGACCCATGTTTGTGGAAACAGATAACCTCTAAACCCTTGGAATATCCTGCCTGGTTAGAGTGTCTTTGTTTATCTGGGGGCTTTGAGCCATGCTGGATGGTTCATATCAGCAATGTGATTATGGCAGGGGCTTCTGGCCATCTAGATGGTTGATGCTATCCATGTAATTCCTCGAGGGGTTGGGAGAACCTTGAGCCATGCGCTTTAGTTTGACCTCTGGAGACTCAGTAACTGACGTCAGTCCTACAGGTGCTCCATGGCTATGTGACTGACCCCAGTGAACTCTGTGGGTACCAAGGCTTGGGTGAGCATCCCTGGTTGGGACACTTTGTGTGTGTCGCCACATCTTGTTGCTAAGATGGGAGAATGAAACGCTGTCTGCAAAACTCCACTGGGAGAGGACAGCTGGCAGCCCGCACCATGCACTTTTTACCTTGGCTATTTTTCATCAATATCCTTTCAGTGTAATAAACCGTAACCGTGAGCATAACGGTTTTTCTGAGATCTGAGTCCTTCTAGTGTGGCCGAGTCCAAAGCTCAGACTGTTTGCCAGCAACAGCCAGTACGTCGAGAGACAAGCTGCTGGAGCAAGAAAGATGGTTTTACAAGCCAGCAAACCAAAGAGATGGTGGACTCATTTCTTAAAGAACCATCTTAAAAGGCATGAATCTCAAGCTGCTTCTTATACTGGGGAAGGCAGAACAAGGAGGCGTTTGAGCCAAGAAGTGACAGGTGACCA